TACTCAGGTGCCTAATTGCTAGATTGTAGGCTTAGCACCCAGTTGTCCAAGCAGTTCTCCGAAAGGATGGTGAAACTTCATGTTCCCCCCCGCAGCGATTAAATGTTCCCCTTGCTCTGCGTCATCACCAACATTTGATGTGGTCAGGTTTGTTTTGTTTTTGTTTGGTCATTGTGGTGGCTGCATGGTAGTATTTGCTTGTGGTTTTAAATGACTAATGAGGGTGGCCACCAATTCAGATCCTTATTGGCTTATTTTGTTGAAGGCCAGTTCAAATATCTTGTCCATTATTCTACTGCATAATCTTTTCCTTTTTTTTTCAATTGAAGTATAGTTTATAATGTTGTTTTAATTTCTGGTATACAGCACAGTGGTTCAGTTTTATGTATATATATATATATTCCTTTTCATATTCTTTTTCTATTACAAGATATTGAATATAGTTCCCTGTCCTAGAAAATAGGACCTTGTTGTTTACCTACTTTATATATAGTGGTGTGTATCTGCAAATCTCAAACTCTCAATTTATTCCTCTGTCCTCTCCTTTCTCCCTGGTAACCATAAGTTTGTTTTCTATGTCTGTGAGTCTATTTCTGTTTTGTAAATAAGTTCATTTGTGTCATTTTTTTAGATTCCACATATAAACGATATCATAGGGTATTTTTCTTTCTCTTTCTGGTTTACTTCGCTTAATATGACAACCTCCAGGTCCATCCATGTTGCTGCAAATGGCATTATTTTATTCTTTTTTGTGGCTGAGTAGTAGTCCATTGTATATATACATACCACAACTTCTTTATCTAATCATCGTTGATGGACATTTAGGTTGCTTCCATGTCTTGACTGTTGTAAATAGTGCTGCTGTGAACTTTGGGGTGCAGGTGTCTTTTGGAATTAGAATTTCTTCAAGATGTATACCCAGGAGCAGGAATGGGATTGCTGGATCATATGGTAAGTCTATTTTTAGTTTTTTAAGGAATCTCCATACTGTTTTCCATAATAGCTGCACCAAATTACATTCCCACCAGCACTGTAGGAGGGCCCCTTTTCTCCACACTGTCTCCAGCATTTATCACTTGTGAACGTTTTCATGACGGCCATTCTGGCTGGTGTGAGATGATACTTCATTGTAGTTTTGACTTGCATTTCTCTGATAATTAGCGATATCGATCAGTTTTCATACGCCAGTTGGCCATTTGTATGCCTTCACTGGAGAAATGCTTGTTTAGTTTTGTTGTATGAGCTGTTTGTATATTCTGGAAATTAAGCCCTTGTCTGTCATATCATTTGAAATATTTTCTCCAATTCTGATAGGTTGTCTTTTTGTTTTGTTTATAGTTTCCTTTGCTGTACAAAAGCCTGTAAGTTTGTTTAGGTCTCATGTGTTTCCTTTTGCTTTTATTTCTATTGGCTGGGTAGACCACCCTAGGAGAACATTGCTAAGATTGATCTCAGAGAATGTTTTGCCTGTGTTTTCTTCTAGGAGGTCTATAGTGTCCTGTCTTGTGTTTAAGTTTTAAGCCATTTTGAGTTTATTTTTGTGTATGGTGTGGGTAGTCTAACTTCATTGATTTACATGCAGCTGTCCAGCTTTCCCAACCACTTGCTGAAGAAGCTGTCTTCTCTCCATTGAATGTTCTTGCCTCCTTTGTTAAAAATTCATTGACTATCTTTCTCTTATCAATTTGTAGGAGTTACTTTTATATCTGAACACAAGTCCATTGTGGTGTTTGTTGCAAATATCCTCTCCACTTTTCCTGCCCATTTCACCCCCTTACTGATGTCTTTTCATGAATAAAATTTCTTAGTTTAAATGTACCCAACTTATCAATCCTTTCAATTCAATTCTACTTTGTTAGTATACGTGTGTCTTGTTTTGAAAAACCTTTCCATACCTCAAGTTCATGAAGATATTCTTATCCTTGTCTTCCAGAAGCTCTGTTGCCTTACCTTCTGCTTTTAGATCTTTAATCCATCTGTTTTATTTTTGATTGTGATATGTAATAGGAGTCCTTTCTTTTTGTTCCTATAGATACCAAAATGATGCAACACCAGGTGTTGAAATGACAGTCCTTTCCCTGCCACCCTGTAACACCATCTTTGCCATAAATTAAGGGCCCATATGTGTGTGGCTCTGCTTAGGGCTCCCTCTTGTTTTCTTTGGGGCTGCTGATCAGTCTTTACCCTGTCCTAATTACTGTGGCCTCAAGTCTTGATAGCTGATGGAGCAAGCCTTCCCACCTGTTCCTCATCAAAAATCTTTTGGCTACACTTGCTCCTTTTATTTGTCATAAAATCAGCCCGTCTATGTCTGCACATATACACAGAGCACTATGATTTTAATTGGAAATGCACTGAATCTATAAATCAATTTAGGGAACAACTAACTCTTTAAATTATGTGTCTCTCAATTCATGAACATGGTATGGCCCTCAATGTACTTAGGTTTAAATTATTTTTAAGTGGATGAATAATATATGGATACATTAGTAAAAATGCAAAAAATAGAGATGAAACAAGTGTTTCTTTCTCTTCCCAAACTGAGCAGTAGCCACAGTTACTATACATCTGTATGCAGGCACGTGTGCACGCACACACGCCAGTTATGGACGGGTTCATGTTAATTTGCCACCTTTTTTTCACTTGACAATAGAATGCAGGCATCTCTGTGTCAGAACAATTGAATCTAGGCCGTTCTTTGTAAACACTGCTTGTACCCAGAGGCCGAGCGTGCTGTCGAATGAGACTGCAAACTGCACTACAGGGAGCATCCCTGCACATGTCTTCTTGGATGAGTGTGTTTTCCTCTAAAAGCGAACCCTAAAGCAAAGAACCCCACTGGGACACTGCTGTACTTGTTCAGAGAAGACAGGATTAGAGGCAGAACTAGGCTGGGGAGGGAAAGGAGGGGTGAATTTCCTTTTCCAAAGTATCGCGTACTTCCTCTTGACAGTCTGCCGGGCCTCGCAGACCACTGTCTGTCATGGGGCTGCTATAATTCAAAGGTTAAGAGCACAGCAGGGGTGGAAACAAGGGAGCCCAGGATGAGGGCAGAAAGGAGGAAGAGGGGCTCGGGCCTGTTGATTAAAGCAGCCGCTAGAACAGAAACGGGGTGGCATGAGAACCGCTGCCCCCAAGCCCTGCCTGCCCTGGGCAGGGCCCTGCACCAGCCGCTGCACACACACTGACTCTGAGCTTCCAGTGGTTCCGTACTTCTCCTGTAAGACGAATCTGAGGCTCAGAAAGGTGAAGGGGCCTGTCCAAGCTCGCTCACTGAGTCAGTGGCCCAGCTGGGTTTCTCACCCAACGTGGGTGAGTCAGCTCCATGGTTTTTGCCCCTTTCCTGGGGCCTGACCACAAAGCCCTGTGTGCGTGGTCTCTGGGCACACACGATGCTGTCTGAGGACACCAGATGGGCAGATCTGGAGGAGCCAAGACCTGAAGCTTCACTGGGGAAGGTGCTGGGGAGACGGGCCCAGCACTGGCACCATTTAGAGGGAGTTCAGCCAGAAGAGTAGACAGCAGCAGATGACAAATGGTGTCTGATGAGCCCCTGCTGTCTGGAAACCCCTCCCCAGGAAGCCAGTGGCCCACCGTGCAACAGGTTGGAGGCAGTGGCTAGGAGCCAGGTCACATCCCCAGTCAGCATGGGGCCCAGGTGGGAGCTGGGGACAGAGCTCTGCTTCCTGAGGATTTGGGAGACCATTCCTGGCTGGGCCTAGGAGTCCCCATACCCCACATGCAAGGCGCCCACAGCCTAAGGAAGGCCACAAGCCCCCAGGGCTTAGCAAACTCCTACTGGTCTTGCTTCCCTCCTCCCTCTCTGCTACCACACCCCACCTAGCTGCCATCTCCTCCCCTCCTACAGACTTTTCTGGCTTTGCATTTTGGGTCCCTTTTTTGTATTTTGCACTGTTTAGATTTAAGAAACTCCCTTTACAAAACCTTTTTAAAATAACAGAAAGGAACATCTGTTTATAAAACAAATGCATGTAAGTATAGCCTATTAATTCTCCTACGCACAGAGAAGGGCAGACGTGATTTTTTTCCCCCAAATTGAGATCATACTGCTCATTCTTTTCAGTAGCCTGCTTTCATTACGTCCAACGTATTTGTGAAGTTCCCACGTATGGTCATCGTGGCAGGACCGCACAGCCCTTAAGAACACAGACTCAAGTGCCAGCAGGACGGGATTTCAGCCCTTGGCTCTGCCGCTGGTTAGTTTTGTGACAGAGCAAGTTACTCACTTCTCTGGGCCTTGTCTTCTGTGTCCATCAAGTGAGGCTAATAGTACCCACCCTCGTAGGCTGAACGAGGGAGGCGGGCCTCACCTGGACCACAGTAAATGCTCACTGAACACCAGATACTAGGACTATCCTAATGACAGAGCCCCATATCCTGGCCTCACCTCACATCCTAGGTCCTGTACCTGGATCCCAGCTGTGACTCCGAGTCCTTATCTGGGTCTCCCAGGCCTACCCTGTGTCCCTTCGTGACCCCTGGGCTGGCTTAGGGACTGGTGCTGGGGGTCAGCTCCCAAGTGGCCTTCAGTGGGACTTCTGAGAGATTCTTCTCTGGTTTCTCAGTGATATGAGGAAGAAGAGGGGTTAGAGAAGGGGGAAAGGAGAAAGGAGCAGGCAGAGAAATGGCTCCGATTTAGCCAGGCCCTGGAAACCTGGGCCCAGAGCATTTCAAATCTCTGTGGCTCATGGACTTCCTCAGCTGGTGTCTGTGTGCAGGGTCCCCCCTAGTTGGCATCCCAGGAGGAGATGTGGCCCCTGGAAAAGCCCACTAGCATGGCTGCTCTCATGAGGTCAGGGAGGGGGAAGACCCTGACATAACCACCCCTCCAAGAAGTTGCTAAGACCTGAGGGCGCTGCTTGGGGTTCACTCTGTTCTTTGGACTTGGGAGTGACCCGCTGACTTCCAAATGTGGGTACAGGTGTCAGATGGGGGCTACAGTGGGGCTGGGGGCTCAGCTCTGAGCTTGGGGTCCACAGGAGATGAACAACTACCGGCGGGCCATGCAGAAGATGGCAGAGGACATCCTGTCGCTGCGGAAACAGACCAGTATCCTGGAGGCAGAGAACCACATGCTGAGGAGTCAGCTGACCCAGGAGGAGGTGGAAGAGGAGCCGAACAACACGGAGAGGGCCCGGAACCCAGGTGAGGGCGTACAGGCCACTGAGGGCATCTGGGTGCCCGCCAGAGCCCAGGATCTGGATTGCAGGACAGGGTGGTGGGAGCCTTTCCCAGGCGTGCATGCTGCTGGACTCAGGCTGGTAGGAGCCTGGCTGTCCTTCTGGGATGGGAAATGGAAAATTCAGTTCTGCCTCAAGTCCCAGGGCTGAGAGACACCTGCCCACCACCCCCTAACTGTGCCAATTTGAGTTAGGAGCTGCCTCCTCCCTGAACCAGCTCCTCCACCACCACCAGCGTCCATGAAGCAGAAACTGCTCCTGAGTGAGCTGGAAATGAAGAAGCTGAGGGACAAGGTGCAGCATCTGCAGAATGAGCTGATTCGAGTGAGCTGGGGCATGGGGGGGCAGGAGGGGGAAGGGGGCTCGGGAGGGAGAGTCTGAAGAAGTGTCTGGTGGCAGAAGGAAGAGGGACATAGGAGGATGGGGGCAAGCGCAGCAGAGGACTGGACAGAGGGTCCTGGGGTTGACCCTTGGGGCCAAGGACACCCCTGCTTTCCCTTCTTCCTCCTCCCTCCCCCACCATCAGAAGAATGATAGAGAAAAGGAGCTGCTCCTCCTGCACCAGGCTCAACAGCCACAGGCGGCGTTGCTGAAGAGGTACCAGGACAAGCTGCAGAAGATGAAGGCGCTGGAGGAGACCGTACGGCACCAGGAGAAGGCAGGTGCCGGAAGGGCCAGGCTGTCTGGGCCCAGCCCCAGACAGGAAGGTGTGGGGCCCCCTGGCCAGCCCAGCCTCTGTGCTCTGCCCTCCAGGTGATCGAGAAGATGGAGCGGGTGCTGGAGGACAAGCTGCGGGACAGGAATGAGCCCCTGCAGAACAGGCTGCAGGGAAAGCCCAGCGTGGGTGAGTCGGCTCCCCGGCTTTTGCCCCTTTCCTGGAGGCCCCCACCTTCCTGGAGCCAGTCCGTTTCAGGAGCACCTTCAAATTGTAGCCCAAAGTGCTGGTCTCCTGCTCATGCTCATCCAGGCACTGAGTGCTTCCAGAGGTCTCCTAAGCTCCCTTCTCCTGCCAGGGAGCCCCTCAGGGCGCATGGGGACACAGTGAATGAACCAGGCTAGAAAGGGCCCCAGAACTTCCAGGAGAGTCCCTGGGACTAGAGCAGGCAAAGATGGGCTGCCCCGCAAAGGAGGGCTGTCTGGGGCAGTAGCTCCCAACTTCTTAACTTCAGGACCCTTCAGATGGTTTGCTCATTTCCCTGTATCTTCAAAGCGTCTGCTTCTACAAAACGAACAAAAAATATTTTGGTTAAATCAATGATTTGTTTTCTCCATTGATGTTAAACAAAGCCACCTAGAACTGCCAGTCAGAGGTGGCGCTGGTAAGCAGGCACAGCACAGCAGGCTAGCCTAAGCAGAGGATTTCCTGCAGCCCATCTGTGCCACCTCACCCAGGACCCCTGTGAGCCCAGCCCTGTGTCAGCCTTCATTGCATGAGGGTGTCATTCGGAGGTGGGGGCAGTTTGAAGGCCTTTAGGAAGCCATGAAAGCTGGGCCTGCCTTTCAGGAACCCTGAGGTTGAGGTGAGAGATGAGAAGGTAACCTAGGGAAGGGAAACGGCCAGGCACTGGCCCAGGGACTGATGATGCCAGGAGCAGAGAACGGAGGAAAGACAGAGGTGAAGAGCTGAAGCAGACCCAGGACAAATGGTGGGAGAGTGATTAGGGAGAACACTGGGGTCAGATTCTGAAGAGCCTAGAACAATGGCCCAAGGAATGTGGACCTGATTCCACCAGCAGTAGGGAGCCATTGAAGGCTTGGGAGCAGAGGCGGCAGAATGAAGTAAAGTGCTGAGGCAGATGGGGCCAGGGACATGGAGGCAGGAAAGCCCACCTCATGAACACGTGTGGCCACATTCACAGCCTTCCCCATGCTCTCAGCCCCTGGCCTTCCCCCGGCTCCTACGGGAGAGAATCTGCCTCTTGATCTTTATTCAATGCTGCTGGCGGAAAACTCGAGGCTGCGGGCAGAGCTGGACAAGAACCGCCACCAGTCAGCACCCATCATTCTGCAGCAGCAGGCCCTGCCGGTAAGAGCCAGCAGCACAAGCTTGGCACGGGCCTGTCTGCACAGGTTACCTACCAGGTGCCCAGAGATCACCTGTGGCACAATCCGCTGAAGCCCAAGACCAGGAGCTTGATTTCCCAGGGTCTCCAATATGCCTGGAGTCTCCTGGAGAGCCTCCAGCTCTCGGGCCTTGACTCTGTTTCCCTGGGGAGCACACGCAAGTCTGAAACTGTCACCCTTCCCCTCGCCTGGTACCCCGGGAGGGAAAGCGAGCCCCTAGCTGACCCTTGACCCCTGGCCCCATGTGCCACCTGGCTGGCCTGCAGTTGGGCTCCACACAGGCCTCTCAGAACTCTGTTCTGGAGCATTTCCTGGGATTCATACAGCCTTGGAGAGCCCTTTTCCCCCATCCCAGGTGGACCCTGGGGAGTTGGGACCAAGAGGAGACCTGGCAGAGAGGCTGCAAGAGACAGATGGCCCAGGCCACTCCAAGGGCAGCCTGCCCGCACAGGTGGGTGTCCCTGGCCCCCCTCTACTTCCAAGGCTGTTACAGGTCCCCCTGCTTTATGCAAACTCGAAGACAGGACCTTAGGAATCACAAAAGAGGGGTGAGCTGGGCACAGGAGAGCTTTTCTCTTCATCCCGGGACTTGCAGGAGGTGAGTTCTTTTTGAAAGCACACCTGATGCATGGACATCCAGGTAAAGTGCGGAGGTTGGGGAAGCCCTGCTTTACAGACAGAGCCTTCACTTTACAAAAAGACCCTCAGCTCACGATTCCTTTCTGGGCACTAACCTAGCGCTCCCTAGTGCATTTTGCATTTAAAAATTGTGCAAAAAAAATCATACACTAAGAATCTGTGAGGAGAACAGCTGTGAAAAAGGCACATGCTGTACCAGGCCTGAATCTCTGGGAAGGGGATTTGGCTCTGGGTCTGAGGCTCTGCACTGGGGAGCTGAATTGGGAACTCAGACCTGGCTAATTTCTCCCTCAGTGTCACCTGGCCTCCTGAGCTCACACTTAGTCCCCAGCTGGGACCACGTGTGACTTTCTCCTTTGTCCACAGGATCTCCTTGCCAATAATTCAGACAAGTTTAACCTCCTGGCCAAGCTGGAACGCGCTCAGAGCCGGATTATTTCCCTGGAAAGCCAGGTAGGTGAGGTACAGGGGTCACACAATTCAGATAGCCTCACCACTCAGCCTGAGACCAGGGTTGGGACTCCATGTTCGCCTAGGGTCGAGGCTCTCTGCGTGAACAGGGCCAGGACTTCCTGTGTGAGGAGGGTGAAGACTGTGTGTGTGACAAGGGTCGGGTTCCATGTGTGACCGATGTCTGGGCTCTGGGTGAGTCCATGGTTGCATTCTGTGTGAGAAGGGGCCGGGCTCAGTGGGTGAAGAGGGTCGTGGTTCAGTGTGTGTCCAGGATAGGGGCTCAGTGTGTGAGGAACGTCAGGGCTTCGTGTGTGACTGGGTCGGGGCTCCAAGTGTGAGAAGAGCGTGGGCTCAGTGTGTGACAAGATTTGGGGCTCCATCTGTGAGGAGGGTCTGAGCTCAGTGTCTGAGGAGGGTCAGGGCTCCGTGTGTGACGAGGGTGGGGACTCCCTGTGTGAGGAAGGTTGGGGCTCCACATGAGACCCTGGCTGGGTATCTGTGTGTGAGGAGGGTCAGGCTACTTCTGTGACCATGGTCTGGGTTCCACATGTGACCAGAGTCAGGGCTGAGTGTGTAGCCAGTCTTGGGGTTCCATTTGTGAGGAAGGTCAGGGACCTGTTTGTGACCAGGTTGGGGGCTCCCCACGTGAGGAGGGTCGGAGCCCCATGTGTGAGGAGCTTCGGGGCCATGCGTGTCCAGGGTCGGGGCTCAGTGTGTGACCAAGGTTGGGACTCTAGTGCCAGGAAGTCAGGGCTCCACTTTTACAGGGTCAGGGCTCCCTTTGTGAGAAGGGTCAGAGCTCCTGCGTCAGCAAGTTGGGGCTCACTGTGTGAGGAGTCAGGGCTCCGTGTGCGACCAAGGTTGGGGCTCCTGGTATGACCAGAGCCTGGGCTCAATTGTGTGGCCAGTTCTGCAATTCCGTTTGTGAGGAGGGTCAGGGCTTTTGTGTCAGAAAATCAGGGCTCATTGTGAGAGGGGAGTCAGGGCTCCATGTATGACCGGTGCCGAGGCTCAGCATGTGAAGACGGTCGGGGCTCTATGTTTCAGGCAGGTCAGGGCTCAGTCTGTGTTCAGGGTCTGGGCTCTCTGTGTGAGGAGGTTGGGGCTCTCTTCTGGAGGAGAGTTGGACTCTGTGTGAGGAGGGATGGGGCTCAGCATGTGAGGAGGTTCTGGGCTCATTTGACTAGTGTTGGGGCTCGGGATGTTGGTGGAACTCAGAGATGTTCCATCAGTCTTGGTTGAACTGTCACCTGGTCCGTCTCCACCCACCCCTGCCACCCCCATGGTCTCTTGGAAAGACAGCAAGCCCATATTGCCCAGGGTTTTGGTTTTTGCCCAGAGAGCAGGCTCAGGCTCTGGCTGTCCCAACTCTCCGGGATGGGCCTTGCTGCCAGTGGTTCTCCACCTCTCTCTCTCCATGTCTGTAGTTAGAGGAATCAGCTCGGCGCTGGGGACGAGAGAAGCAGGACTTGGCCACACGGCTGCAGGAGCAAGAATACGGCTTGAGGCACCCCTCAAACACCATCACCGCAGACCTGCCCGTGAGCGATCCCTCTGGAGGAGTTCCTTGGTGTTTGGGTGGCGGGACTGGCAGCCACCCCACTCCCAGAGTCACTGGGCCTTGTGAGAAAGTACCCAGGGGGTCCTGCTCCCTGACTAGTAGTCAGAAGACCTGGGCTCCACTTCTGCTCGGCTACCAGCCAGAGCCCTTGCCCCGTCTCAACCCCTCACCTGTCTCAGGGGAATAGAAAGCCCTGCCAAGACCACCACCTCCCCTTCAGGTGGTGGTGAGAGTCAAAGACAAGACCGCTGTGGTCGGTAGGGCGCCCCATGCTCTGGCACTGTGTCCTTTAGGGCTGGATCTGCTCATGGGCAGAGTAGCTGTAGCCCCGCCCCACTCCACGGTGCCTGAGATTCTCGCAGGAACACACCCTTCTTGGGCAACTGCAGTGCTGCAGCCCTGCCAGGGGTGGGAGCACGCTGCCAGAGAGAAACACTGCTGGCTTCCCAAGAACGAATAGGCCAGTTTACAGCTGCCCCGCAGCACTGGGCCACCCAGGCCCCAAAGCGAAAGCCCTGATGTCTCCTGCCCTTGAATGATCAGTGCTCTTCTCATTTCCAAGCTCCTGGAAAGGCCTGAAAAGGACGGGGGACTGAGGGGAGCACAGGGCTGCCTTCGCAAACTCACCCACTGAGCCCCGGAGACTCTGGGGGAATTTGGGTATGACCTGCTGTGGTTAAATGGGTTTGGGAATCCTTGAGAAGTCATGACCTACTGGGTTTTTGATCCTCTGAGTCATGGTTTGCCAAGCAAGATGCATTTTAATGGGTCATCCCCCAGGGACAGGGGCATACTCACTTCACCTTGCTTTGCCCACCACAGAACCCCTCTACCCTCTCTAAGGACCAAAGGCGACCCTCCAAGCTGGACCCCTTGATGCCCAGCTCAGAGACTAAGCTCAACAGGCTCTCAAAGTCCCAGCAGACTGAGCCCCAGGAGACCTGAGGCCTGGAGCAGGCCTCCCTCCCTGTGTGCTGGGGAGTCTCACCCTATCCCCTAAAAAAGACTTTATTAAATGCTGTAGGTCAGTGAGCAGTCACCTCTTTCCTGGAGCAGAACAACCTGGGGGGCTGAAGCTTCCTCCTTCCAGACCCCACTCACAGGGCCCGGGCCCTCTGCTGTAGCCCAATAGCATCCTGCCTGTCTCAGAAGCTACCGTCTTCGGAGAGCCAAAGGCCACAGTGGATCCAGGAAAGGCGGGGTGGGGCGGGTAGAAGAGGCCTCCCAAAGCAGGAACCAGGGAGACAGCCCTGTCGAGGTCCCCAGAAGGACTGAGACTGCCAGAGGCCAGCTTTGTCGGGAGGTGTGAGGGATGTTGGGACTTTCTACCTGCCCCCAAACATCTTACATATCTGAAATCCCTTCTTTCAAGTTTGGTTTATCTGTTTCTTGGGAAGGGAAAGACTTGAAATGAAGCCTGCTTGTGACAACAGTTACATGTTAGTGTGAAATACCCCATTCACCAGGGCTAGGCTGAGCTGGCAGTGTTGTGTCCAAATGTAGCCAGGGACAGAAAAGCAGATGGAGCCAGAGGAAGGAGCCCTCTACTGAGAGTTAGGAGGCCTGCCTTCTAGTTACAAGCATACTGTGTGACCTTGGGTGACTCAAGCAACCTCTCTGGGCTTCAGTTTCCCCATCTATCCCCAAAGAGCTTAACCTCTTTGACAGTAAGGCCCCTTCCAGCTCTAATATTTCTCAATCAAAGATGACTCAGGCCCAGAGGAAGGAAAGTAAGGAGGAAGGAGAGAGAAAGACAACAAGGAAGAAGATTGTGATAGGAAAAGCAGAAAGGCTCCAAGAGTGGATTCAGAACCCGCAGGTCCTGGTAGAAGAGGCCAAGACGGCTGGGCTCTGTCCTGAGTGGGACTACCCTGTCTGCCTGCAGGACTTAGCCTCGGATAGCCAAGAACCAGGAAGGATCAGGCACCTGTTCAAGTTGGGAGGGGGTTAAGGAGGCTGAAATTGGGACCACTATCAGGCAATCCAAATAATGCACCAAAGACTCTACCCCAGTGTCCCTGACCTATACCCAGAGCTTAGACAAGTGGGCACGTCCACTGGAAGAAGAAGTTAAGGCCTAGGAAAGCCCAGAAAAGAGTCCAGTGGGGTGGAGGAAGCATGCTGCCCTCACATTTCCAGGGTCAGCCTCCTCACACCAGCCCCTCACCCACAGCTCCTCCACTACACTGTCCCTGGCCATGCCCAAGCCTCTGGCTGGACTATGGCTGGAAGTCCTCATGACCCTTCAGGGAATTCCCACCCAGGGCTCAGCCAAGCAGAGTCCTGTACAAGCCTCACCCCTAACAGGTAGGCCAGCCCCAGAAGCCAAGATTGGCCCACACTGCTCAGGCTACCCTGTTCGCTCAGCAGAACTCCGCCAAGTTCTTTGTCCCTCTGCCTGCTGCTCCAGTAGCTTCTGGCGCAGGGGCGATAGCCCGCCGCCTGCTCTGCCTTGCCCCCAGCCCTGACAGCAGGGAAGTTGATCCTGCTGGCTCCTGAGCTGCTGTAGGTGGGTGGGTCGCAGCAGAAATGGCTTCGATTGCAGCTGCCTTAGTCCCCCATTCATGCTCAGATCTGTCTGCTGACCAGTGTCAGGGAGCATCTCCACAGGAGTGATGGATAACTCAGGGGTCAGATGGAAATGAAAACACTTCACGTAGTTCAGCCATTTATTGCCTTCATGGGGTGGACAATGAGGGGGAAGAGGTGGGGGAAGAGAGGGGCGCCTCAGCTGAGCTGAAGCAGCTGACCACTGGGTGCCAACTCCATTTGGTCAGAGCTGGCCAGAAGGGAGCAGGGGTGGGGATGGAGCACTGGAGGTGCAGACACTCCCATGGGCCCCACCCCCTCGGGCCGCCCTCCCACATGCCTGCCAGCCTGGATGACAGGAAGAGCAGTGGCCACCCTCTCAGATCACGCCGTGTGTGAGTCCTGGTTGAAGGGCCGGAAGATGAGGAAGATGGGTTTGTCGGGGATCAGGATGAGGCTGAAGATGCTGTCCACATCATTGAGATACTGCATTTCAATCTTGAAGTTCTCCAGAATCTGTGACAGAGAGATGGTGGGCTCAGGAGAGGTGGGGGGGTCTGTCTCCTCTAGGCCAGGCTCGTTCACCTGTAGGCAGTGCCTGCTGAGTGGGATCTGAGACGCTCCAAGGGGTCTACCACCAGCTGCTGTCAAACCCTGCCCAGACCCTTGGTTCAGGCTTTCGGTTTGGTTCTACAAAACCTTATCTGACCGCACCCCTATCCCATCACCACTGTAGGGGAACAGATGGTCAGGGAGCACCAGTGGGTGATGAGTATCCACTAAAGATGATGAGGGCCCAGAAGAGGAGGCAGCAGGGAACTGTCCGGGAGGGAAGGCCAAGTAATGACAGACAGACGTCCCCAGGCTAGACTCACGTGGATAAGGAAGACGGTCATCTCGAGCTCAGCGATCCGCCGGCCCACGCACTGCCGCAGACCCCAGCCAAAGCCCAGGTTCCGGAAGTGGATGAGGTCCCTGTCTTTACCCAGCCACCGGGTTGGGTCAAACTTGCTTGGTTTTGAGAAGTAGTTGGGATCTCGGCCCATGGCGTAGATGGCCACTTGCACCAATGTCTGGGGACAAAGTAGCAAAGGTCTAAGTAGGCTTCACCTCCTCACAGACCAGACAATTACCCAGCATCCCCACTCCTGGGCCCCAGCCTGGCTACCCAGCTATGCAGCACAGGACACTGCCCACTGTGTGATCTTGAACAAGGCCCCAACCCCTCCCTGAGCCTCATCCATCAAATGGGCATGACCGAAGACACTAAGCCAGGGGTGGCCCAAGGATTGTCCTGACCCTTCCCCTAGCCCCAGAGGGCCCCCAGAGATCCAGACAGCCTGTGAGATCTCCCTCCTAACCCTTGGGTCCAGCAACATTCCAAAGACATTGCCCACTGTGTCCACCACCTCTGCCCTTTGTTCACACTTGGACCACTGCTGCCAAGGGCCCCACCAGCTCCAGGAAGAAAGGCAGGACAGAAGCCCCACTCCCACCATCCGTACACAACTACAGTCTATCCCTGGCCTCGTCTGTCTGCCTGACAGAGCCTGCAGCCCTCCTGCTGCACCTACCTTGGCAGGAATCATGTAACCTCGAAGAACCAAGTCATTTGCAAGGTATCTCTGCAGGGTCACGGAGATGGGATGCAGTCTGCCAGTGGAAGGCATTCAGAAGTTGATGCCCCAATGCCCGGACAAAGCCTCTGCACCCAGCATGGCACCTCAGTCCCAGCTGCAGCACCCTGGAAAGATCTTGGGGGGCAGGACCCTTCTCCCCATTCCCAGCTGTCCCCCACAGGCTTCTCACTTCCTACTACCAATCTCCTCTTCCAGCCCATGCTTGTAACCCTGAGTCAGGCACCACCCTGGCCCTGCCCAGGGATTTGAGGTGGGAGGGGCAGGCACAGTGAGGGTGGGCTTGCCTCAGAGTCTCCTTGATGCTAGCTTTGAGGAGCGGGACCAACTGCAGCATCGTGTTTATGTCTCCCTGGGCCTGGCGCCGGGCAGCCAGGACCTCCTCCCGTAGCATCTCCTGCACTTTCAGGCTGCGTGCCATCTCGTACAAGTGCCACTGCAGCGTCATGGATGTCTGGCAGGGAGTGTGGAGGTGCGGAAAACCAAGAGGGCTGGTCACTCCTGGGGCACACAGACCCATGCTAAATTTTCATTGCCAAACATCTCTCCCCACTCTCATCCCAATATCCAGAAACCACCATCCAAAAAAAAGCAAAACAATTCAAAAGGCAAATACCCAAGAAGGCTTTCTCATGGCCCTGGCAGGAATGTTTGGGGCAGCTCTTGTCTCTGCCCTCCTCCCTCATGTCACCAGAGCCCACCCATCTCCCCAGCCAGTAGAAGGCCATCCACACAGCTAATACCTTCTTCCAAAGGACTCCAGTAGCCCTAAGAGGCCCAATCCTACTTCTGTAATGGTTGTACTCCTGAATGACTGCCATTCTTCTTGAAGTGCCTGTTAAATGGCCATCCCTCTCCCCAGTAGAACTTCCCCCTAGACTTAGCATCTGCCTGTAGCAGCATACGATAAAGTGAGGCTCAGAAATGCTGAAATCGGCACAACCAGACCTGTTTTCTGTCAGTGTTGCAATTATCATATGGTACATACTGATATTAACCAGGTAATCTCAGTATTAGCCTGAGGTAGCAACCATTAGCTTTCACTGAAGGTATGAGTGATCCTCATCGAGCCCTGTAGTCCGGATTCCATGGGGTAGGACCCTGGGCTGGAGCAGCCCTCCCTCCTGGGTTAGGACACAGGTTGTTGGAACATTGTCTTACCAAGGATCATATTTTGGTCCACGAGATTTGAACATGCTCCTTCTTCCTCCCAGCAGACGCAATTGTGAAAAAATGCCATCCAGTCACTTCCCAGCTTGAAATCCTTGCCTGGCTCCCTGGAGTCCCCAGATCAAGTCCAGAGGCCCTGGCCTGACCCATGGGCGCCCTCCGACACCGGCCTGCTGCTCCCAGCCCCGCCGCCACCTCTCTCCATCATGCTCCTTATGCTCTAGTCACACTGAGCTACACGCAGCTCCTGAAGCCCAGGCATCTTCCTCATGCTGTTCCCTTTTCCCTACAGTTCCCTTCCCCAACCTGGGAATCAAGTGTGTATTCCTTCCTCAAGGCTCAGATCAAATGTGTGTTACTTGTCTCACTACCTCTAAGGCCTGACACAGGGTGGGGACTCAGGAGATACTTGTTTAATAAGATAGTCAGCTAAGCTGCTAACTATGTGACCTTGACTAAGTTCCTTACACTGTCTGCGCCCCCGTTTCCGCATCTAAAAAAGGACGAGAACAGTAACATCCCTCACAGTGGTGTTTGTGAGTAGTGAATGCGTTAGCACACATGAAAAGCTTAGGAGCCTGCCTGCCATGCAGAGCCTGCTTCGTAAATGTTTCCTAAGAATACTAGCTGCTCTGGTGCAGCTATTGGAGGTCTCTCCTGCGTGACTGACAATGAACTATGTTTAAAATATGCTCAAAAGTTCCATCTGCAGCCCACGGACCCAAACTCCCCTATGAAAGCGCAATGTAAATGTGGTACCTAAGAAACCAAGTCCTTCACCGGAGGCTCTGACACAGGCCTCTTCCCGTCCTGAAATGCTACTGCTCCTCCCTCTCCTCCTGGCAACAGGAGGAAAGACAAGTTGGTTTCGGCTCTATGGAGTGCGCCCCCTGTCCTGCAAGGCCACGTTCGTCTCTCCCCTCCCCCCACTTAGTGTCGTAGGTACCTGGCACGTGCCTAGTCCCTGGCCCTGTAACACCGCGTGGTAGGCAGTCTGCGCTGCCTGCCTGTCACAGGCTGAACTATGTCTTCCCCGCCCAGAGTCACATGCTGAAGTCCTAACCCCCTGTACCTCACGATGTGACTGTACCCAGAGACAGCGCCTTTAAAAAGATACGGTAAGATGAGGTCACGTGGGTGGGCCCTAATCAGCTGGGGCTGGTGTTCGTGTAAAAAGAGAAGGAAGGAGGAGAGAAGGAAGAACATGTGAAAACAGGAGGAAGACAGCCATCCACAAGGCAAGCAGAGGGGCCTCAGAAGAAGGCAACACTGCTGACACCTTGGTCCCGAACTGTGAGACAATGCGTGTCTCTGGTTTAAGCGCCCCCGTCTGCGGTACTTGGTCATGGCAACCAAAAAATTAATACACTCTTCCTCTCTGAGCCACTGGGGAAGTTTGAGGTCTGCTGTGTTCATCTCTAAAATCTCAGTGCCTGAATCATAACTAACAATCAAGAGACACTAAAGAACTAACCCTCAACATCATATTAGCGTGAGGAAGTTTAAGGTACTGGGGAAAAAAAAGGGATGGCCCACAGGACAGAGTTTTGATATTCAAAAACAGAAGTTTCTAGGGTGTTGTTCTGCCTGTGGAGAGGGCCTCAGGGAGCTACCACAGATGACACCTTCAGGCATCCGAGCGGTTGGGGGTGGGACTGAGGTGGTGAAAGAGGAGGATGGAAGACAACAAAAGGACTTGGAGGACAGAGCCCAGGGCAAATTCCACTGGCTCCCAGCTTTTCTAAGGACCTGCCTGCTTTCCTGACTCCGAGTGAGCTGTGTCACCCACCTGTGCCTAAGCACTCCCTCCTCACAGGCAAAGAAAAAATTGTGGATCAGCCTCCAGGCATGTTCCATGGGGGACTGACTTGACCTCACCCTCCTAGGAGATTAGTATTTGGGAAATGGAGTCAGAGAGGCAGACTCACCCCACAAGGCAGGGTTTTAAACAATGAGGCAGGCTGGTGGAAAGGGTCCGGGGGTGCAGGAAGGGACAGGATGTGCTCCTAAAGCCACCTCAGCCACCTCACCGCGTCCTCACCGTGTCCACGCCCCCTGCCAGCATCTCCGTAACGTTGCCCTTGACATCATCTGAGAGAAGCTTGTCATTTCCCAAGAGACGGTAGAGGATGCCTGGATAATCGGTGAATTCTGTTTTTAATCTCAGGTCCCCATAGAATTTCTGGGTGTATTTTTCAGCTGTGAGGCAGGAAGAAAGAAAAAAGAGTGAGGCTCTCCACAGTAGGGCAGGAAGGAGCATGATCAGTGGCGAGAGGTGGTACAGGGGCTTGGGGATTCTGGAGCCCTGTGCTTTCCAGGCTGCTGTTTTCCTGAGCATCAGTCTGTTAAGCCCTTCATATCTGTTTTTTTGTTTAATTATTGACCAAAGCTCTTTGGGGGTCAGTGCTCTCACCCCCATTTTACAGATAAGGAAACAAGCTGCTTGATGTGAAGATTTGCTCAAGATCACAAGATCAAGGTCGGGGCAGAGGCAGGATTTGACTCCAGGTCTGGCACATCCCAGTCACTCTTCCCCACCCTAATTTACCGATCTCTCTCACCAAAGTCCTACTCTGTCACCAAGCACAGCCATGTCTGAAACACTGATCCTTCACCCATGTTGGGGATCATGAGCTGTCTGGAAGAATATGATGAATGCCTTTGACCCTCTTCTAGAAAAATCTAATTATCCCCATAGCTGGCCTTCAGCCCACATTTCTAGGGTTTTCAAGGCCTTCCCGATGCCCATCCTTGCCCACCAGAGGGTGAGTTTCCTGCATAGCAAGTCAGTGCCCACTGATAACTTGGGGAAAAGGCAGGCTGAGGCCTGAGGCTTCCAGCTGGCTTTTTCTCTCCCCTCTTTCTCCCCACTTCCCCAACCCCTAAACCTAGACCTAGGTTTCCCACCTCCAGGGGTAGACAGGGCTCTCCTGGCCCCCAGACTCGGCTGCCCAGGTTACAGCCCTCACCTTTATTGAAAATTACATCCCATGCAGCCACGTGGTCCCTCCAGGTCTTAGTCCTGAGCAGACGGAACAGGTCTGGGGGGAGGTTGAGCAGGGGGACGCTGGTGTGGAACATCTTGTAGACAGCATCAATGAACTTCTGGGCCTCAGGGTCCACTGTCTCCTCCAGCATCCCCAGGCGCTCCCCAAATAAGACATGGGTGATGGCTGCAGAGGAGGCAGGGAACCCCTTCTGACCATCTAAGAGCCTCAGCTCCCAGGAAACCATTCCACCCCCGCAACACATAGGAGCCTCTGCACCCAGCCTAAGCGTCCTTTAGTAAAGAAACAGGCCTGAGTCCCAAGGGGCTGAAATTGCAAGGCTGAAGAAAACTGCCTTTCTGGCAGCCTCTCAGTTCCTTTAGAGGGTCCTGTGGCAGACCCTGAAAAGGGATCACTTGAGTGGGAAGCAGAGCTGGGAGAAGGCCAGGCTGGGATGTAACTGCCCTGCCTCCTTCCACCAGCACTCCCAGCAGCCTCTGGGCTCTCCTCCTGGATTTCTCATCCACAACTGACCACAGCAGCTGAATACTTTCTCAAACAGGTCAGATGGACAACTAGGGGACATCATTCCCTGGTAACTGGCCATCCAGAGCCCACCCTGGCCGGACATAAGAAGTTACAACAACCCCAAGGTTTTCCCACCTCCTGGGTTAGGAATTTGAATGCTGATTTCAGGCCAACCTGGGCACCCCAAATCTCCTGCAGTGATCAGATGATCCCCATCAAGCCACAGGGCCTTTGCATGTGCTGTTCCCTTTACCTATACTGCCCAACTTCCTTATCCCATCTGTATAACTCCTACACATCCTCCCATACCCAGTTCAGATTAACCACCCAACACTCCCCTCCCCTCCCAGCCCTCTAAGGTCTTTGTCCCAGGAGAAGGTGATTTGGAGAATGAAGGGATGAGCCAAGCTCTGGCTTTTGGAGGAAAGTGGCAATAGGTACCTACATTTTGGTGATCCTTCCCCCCATAGCGTGAATCAGATGAGAGCCTGCAGCTCTCCCAGGTAGCTAATGGAGGAGAATGTGTTCAGCAGCTCATCCCAAACGCCAGTCCCAACACTTCTTCAGGGTCTATGTTGGGACACTGGGTTCTCCTACCCCCAGGACTGTGGCCAGGTAGGTACAAGTCCCTTACACTCAAAGGCAAAGCGAAACAGGTCTTCCTTGATGTCCCCTGAGAACTCTCCAGAGCCCTGCTGCTTGATGCGCCTGTGCAGGACGCTCACGAAGTCCTGAGACACTGTGTCCATCAGGGGAATGAAGTTCTTTATGGCCTCTGGAGACATCACCTCCGCATTCAGGACCAGTCGGTCTTTCTTCCAGGCTTCTGACTTCCTGAGAAAACACGGGCCCTCAGGCCCTCATGGTCACAAACCTCAGGCCTGGCAAACACAGAGGGGACTGACTTGGCTCTCCCAGGAGGCTGGACCATAGCTCTCATGTCCGGCACTCACGTCCACATCCACCCCTGCCCTCACCTCCTCCCACCTTCTGTGTGGCCTGGCAAGGAGCGGAGGGGACAGGAAGAAAGGTGGAAGGAGGACAAAACCCCTGCCCTTCTCTGCTCCCTCTGCTGCCACTGCTGTGAGCCAGGAATTCATATTCTTAGAGCCTTTAAGTAACTTTCAAACCCTCTAGTCTTTGCCTCTGCTACAGGCCTGCCCTCTCCACCACTTCCCCTTCCTCCTGGACCATCTCCCCTCCTGCCATTCAGGCGTCCCTCTACGTCCTTTTTCTGACCCCTGCACAGACACAATGACCAATCTTTCCTCTTCTGCACCCCCAGCACGCCCCATTACTCACACTGGTGGGGAATCTCAGATGCTCAGAGCTGGGTTAATGCCTGTTCTTATTCTCAGCCTGTGGCCCAGTCTTGAAAAGAGCTCGGTGCAACGCCCTCTTTGTCCTCTGGGGGCTTTGTATGTTTACAGGAATGTTATTACAAACTCACTGCCCAACACGGAAACCAGGAACTTGACAGTAACTGACAGGTGCCCTTCTAGTCCTCCCACATCCTGCCTCCTCAGCTAAGGGGACCGGGACCGCCAACCTGACTCCCTGGTTTGCTTTTGTATTTAGTTTTATCTGATTTTTTATGAAAAATATTTTATTGATTTTTTATTATTGTATTATTTAACTATTTTATTTTGGTGTGGGGGGTGGCAATTAGGTTTATTTACTTTTAGAGGAGGTACTGGGGATTGAACCCAGGACCTCGTGCGTGCTAAGCATGTGCTCTACCACTTGAGCTATACCCTCCCCCCTAGTTTTATCTGATTGACATATATTTCTAAAACATACTTTTTAAAAAAGTCTACTTGTTTTCAACTTCTTATAAAAGCTGTCAGGATTTGCTTTTTTCACTCCAGTTTGTATTTCTAAGTGTCATCTGTATTGCTGTGGGTCACCGAGTCTGTCCTCTCCGACTGGGCTACACCACTGTGCACTCATTCACGCGCCTGTTAGGCACTTGGCTGGTTTCCTGGGTTTTGGTGTTATGAACAACCACGTTGCAGACATTCTAGTCCATGTCCCCCTCAGAGGGTGGGGATATCCTTTGGAGTATGTCCCTGAGAGCAGAACGGCTGTGTTGTAAGTGTGTGAATATCCAACCACAGGAAGTAATGTCCAACCATTTCCCAAAGTGGTGGCATCCGTTTTCAGCCCCACTACGCAAGCTATGAACATTTTAGTTTCCCCATAGTAACACTTGCTATGGTCACAGTTTTAAATTTTTGATGAGCAACTTGGTGGAAAATGGCATTTATTACATTTAAATACACTACTTTGGTCATCTTTCTCACCGTATATTTAGACAATCAGGGACTCACAGTGGCAGAGCCCTGCCATACTGTTACCTCAAGCCCAGCATAAGAACTGGCACGTAGTAGGTGCTCAATAAAATGGGACTTTATGAATGAACCAATAAATGAAAACTTAAGGTCTTTAATAACTCATTAAGATCTTTGACCTGACCATCTCCCTGAAGGTTGGCAGGGCTGTTCACCCTCACCATCATCTGTTTTATGGCATCAGGAAGATGACCGTGACTTGTCTAGAGGCCCCAGCTAGAAGGTGCAGGGTAAGCGAGGCCCCAGCCCCTCATCCCCAGCCTCTGCCCCCACCACAGTTGCCCATCATCTCCCTCCAGCCCCTGGGAGGTGGCCCACGACTCACTTAAACAGGACCCCAATGGGTTTCTGGTAATGCTGGTGATAGGCGACCCAGGGCGGGATGTCGTAGCGTTCTGGGTTGGGACCCTCAAACTTGAAGACAAGGGCCACGTCCTCAGGGTCAATGATGTAAACTGACTCCACATTGCCGAGCTTCTCCCTGGAAGAGAGGAGGAGAGGCGCTGTGATGTAAGGATTTGAGGGGAGTCATGCAGACCCTGGGCAATCAGGACACAGGGCACGGCTTGTCTGTTAACCCCCTTGTGGCTGACAGCACAGAGCAGACGGGCCTCCTCGCCATGTGACCTGAGGCAAGGCTCTCACCCCTCTGAGTCTCAGTTTCCTCTTTTATAAAATGGACACGAACACTGGGCCATTCTCACAGGATTGCCATGGATAAGATGATATGCGGTCTATGGGTGTGACTCCTGTGAGACATTCTATACGTGACACCTTTGTGCTCCTCATCACAGTGGCTCCTGCCTACCCCAGCATATCCCTGGGACCAGGCCCACCCCCACGCAGGGCCTTCCATGGACCATCAGGTCCTCCATGCTCACTCTTCCTGTGTGTCCACACTCAGCACCCTCCACCCTCTCACCCATGCAGAGCTCAGAAACACGACACCTTCAGGTCACCTTGAAGTGATCCTCTACTGGCTTAGCTCCATGACTTCATGCAGCCCGCTAGGCAGGCCACACACCGGGCCAGCCAATCCCTTCTAGGCTCTAGGACTGGAATTCTGGGCATGGCCACCCTGCCTCCAAGAATCAGATGCTGGACAAAGTAACGTGTCTCTATTAAGACATCAGGCCCCAGGTATAAATATACCTCATAAAGCACTTTGCAGATAGTATTAAAATACAACTGTTGGGAAAAAACAGAAAATTCCAGTTCTCACTTGCATTTGCCTTTTGCATAAGAAAGATAATTCAAGATACACTTTAGGACAAAACATCATATAAACATACAGGTACAAGCCAAATTCTCTCCCTCCCCCTCTCTCTCTTCTCTCTCCTCCCTCTGATGGAGAGGAGAGAAGGGTGGGAGGGGGCAGGGAAGGACAGGAGTGAGGAGGGCACTGCTTTAAATGCTGAACATAAAGCTTGAGCCTAACTTCCTAAGCCTCCCAGAAAATCCCCTCCGTGTTTTTCCAGCTGCCTCACATCCTCACACCACTGACTCCATTAGAAAAAAAGAATAAGAAAAAAAGCTCTGCAAAGTCCTTGAACGACTATTGTTATTATCAATTCCACCTCTGGGAATTTAGCCCAAGGCAGTAACCTGACAGCAGACAAAGATGCCTGATGGATGAGGATGTCTAGTAGCAGAAACACTTAGAGTGGGCTAGCTGTCCACTTAAAAGAACTAGCTAAAAAAATATGGCCTAGCCACACTATGGGCTGCTCTGCTGCCTTTTAAAGTCATGCTAAATAGAGAAAAGAGAAACGAGGTCTTTGATATGTTGAGGGACAGCACCACACAGCGTCTAAATATCTTCACATTCTGAATGGTAGAGAAATATTATCAAAATTGAGGTTGTATCTGATTTTGATTTTTCTAAATTGTTCTATAAAGAACAGCCTTGCATTAAGAAAAAATAAAACCATGAAACTTGTATTTTAAATTTCTCGTGTTTATTTAGGAGTTTATCATCATTTCAAAGCTATTGTTAGAACAGTGACATGCTGAGCTAGAAATTAGACAGCTGGGGTTCCAGACCTGGCTTTGCCCTGATGAGCTGTGTGACCTTGGCAAGACCCTTCTCCACTCTGGGCCCCAGTTTCCCCATCTGTAAAATGGGGATGATAACAGCAACTTTAAGGACATGTTGCAAGGTTCAGATGAAAGTGACTCAGAAAACAGGAAGAGGCTTTATAAAATAAGGAGTTCCTACCAGGGATGGGAGCCGGGAAGCGGTGGGGGGAGGAAGCAGGGAGTGAGAGAGAGTGCCGTGAAGTCAGGCTGGGGACAGAGGCAGTGACAGGCCTAGCAGAGAGAGAGACAGAGGGAGAGAGAGACAAGAAAGAGACACTCAGGAGTAACCTTCTCCCAGGTCGACGCTCAGTCGGGTGGGGGGGGCTCCCTGCCTCCAGCCAGCTATAAAAAAGGCACTGACGACTTCAGAAGGGGTCCTGGGAGAGGGAAGAAGCAGCCCTGACAAGCGAGCAGCTGGTGCCCTACACAGACAAGCCTGTGTCCCTTCAGCCCCCCTACCCAGCCAGCTAACATGCCATACGATACCCTTTCCCTATCTTATCCCTTTCACTTCAAGTAAAAGTAAAGTAAAATGTACTGTCTCTTCTGGAGCTCCATCCCTGCCCATCCCATCCCCCAGTTCCCATCCCCCTCATCTGTTCGCTCAGAAAAGCTCCCAGGTGTAACTTGAAGCCAACCCCCCTTAGAAACAGCTAAACCAGAACAAGTGAGGCTTCCCACCCATGGCAGCCCCCAGACCCCACCTCTATTCCAGGGCGAGAAGGTGGGATGCTCAGAGGGCAAAAGACCAAAAGCCCTTCCTCCTGGCAGGAAGCCAGGCAGATGCTTGTCAAAGAGGGGCTCTAGCCACTCCTAGAGGAAGGGACAAACTCAGCTGCTCCAGAGCTGCTCTGGATTGAGGGGTGGGGCCAGCACCCCAGCAGGACAGCGATCTAGCTCGGTGACCAGAGCAAAAATCCTAACCTCTCCGAACTTGGGTCTCCTCTGACAATAGGGATGATAAACTTACCTTCCAAGGTGGACAACGGAGTTAGTGAGGACGTTGTCAAGGTTTGTTGACTTGCTCACTTGTCAGGGGATACTAAGAGCACCCCCACATCCCTAAACTCTCAAAGGGTGCAGGACCGAGGACCGAGGCAGCGGGTGTCGAGCCCTCAGGGCCGGGAACTGAACCCACTGTCTGGGAAGTCTTATTCCTCTTCCTGTCACCCCCAGGCAGGAAGAAATAAGACCAGAGCCTGGAAGGGGAGAGCAGACCATCTGGGGAGCAGGGAGCACAGCAGGGCCGCCCAGGCCCCCTCCTTCCCTTTCCTGCCAGCCCCACCCTCTGCCAGGCTTACCTGTAAATGGGGCCATACTTCTGGAAGTTCTGGGCTTGGTGAAAGTGTATTTTCTGTGGGCCGTTCTCCCTCCAGAAACGGTACAGGTTAAGCCAGCCATTGTCACCAGGGGAGGGGATCTCATTGAAGGGGCGAGGGGTTTTAGTGGAGATGCCAGCTCCCTCGTCAGTGGGCACCCTGAGATGCCCCAGGCTCTCCCGCGGGGTGCTCAGGAGGGGCTGGTAGCCTTTGACCAGAACTGAGCGGAGGGGAAGCCCCCTGGCCAGCATGCTGCTCTCACAGCTGCCACTGTCCCTGCTCCCACGGCACAGGGCTCGACAGGGTGACTCTGGCCCTGGGCCCCTGGGCCCAGCTTATAAATGCCAGCTCAAGGCTAAGCGAGCAGCTGATGAAGCCTCCCTCCTCCTGCTGCTGGTTCCAGCCCGCGCGGCCCCTCCCCGATTCAGGGGACTGTAAAGAAAAGAATGTTGCCTACCACACCAGTTCTACAAAGGTCAGCTCATCGGCCGGCCGCAGCTGTTGCCCACCTGAGGGGAACCCTCAGGACTTCAGGATGGAGAAAAACAGGAAGCAGTTAGATATACTGCCCCCTAGATAGTTCAGATGTACATCTAAGGAAAAATTTCAAAGACCCCAGATTCCTGCATCTTTCCACACATAAAAAAACACTAAAATCATTAATTTGAGATATCTGTTGTTTGTGATAAGCAGGAATCTTTTTATGTTTAAATACATGTTTTTCCCAGCCAAAAATTCTTGTAAATCCTGACTTTTCCCTGACATCTCCTCAGAGCTACCTGAGAGGCTCTCCTAGGCCATAGTCCTGAAACTTTCCATTCCAAAATGTCTTTTTGGCACGCTGATAATTTCAAGCTGAAAACACCAAGGCCAGGAGACTCTGGAAGAAACTAACCTCCCTGCCTGTCTCAAGAACTGAGGTAGAGGGCCTGTTTCAGGAATGGACCTGTCACCACAGATACCTGCAAGGAATATGGGCTAAGTGTGGTCAGGAAGACTCTCGGTGATCAGAGACCTCTCCGTATTCCATTGTCTCTGCATGGACCAGCAAACATTTACCGACCACACACTTACTTTTGCATCTCCAGGTCAATTGTCTTTCCCCTCTTTGAAGTCCTAAACCCCCACCTCCAACATCCTCTTTTGTCTTCGGTTGAAGATGGTATTCAAGGTGAAGTTTTTGGTCATTTTGGCAAGTTACTCGGTTTTTCTGGTCTCTGCCATGTACGTATGTTATTAAACTTTGTTTGTTTTTCTTCTGTTATTCTGTCTCGCGTTAGCGTCATTCTTACACCAGCCAGAAGAAGCTAGACGGGTAGAGAAAAATTCCTTCCTCCCAACAATCCTCGTCAAGTTCCCAAATAAACCTGAGACCCGCTGCCCTCACGTTGTATATTTTTTTCAGTTGATAGCACCAAGGCTTCGTCTGGAATTCCTGCAGTCGGAGAGGCTCCCCAAAGCACAAGGAGACGCCTGTCATTCCCCAGCGCCAGCCCCAGTGGGCCCTGGAAATGGTACAGAAATATTATAGATTTGTGCCTGTCTTCTGCTGTGGCCTCCTGCTGACCCTTGCTGTGGGACCCACTGAAACTGAGTTCCCCTAAAACTGAGTTCCCTTACCGAATTTATGATTAATCTCTCTATTCAAAACTTCATTCCCTTCCTCCTCCCCTCTGATCTCAATCTTGTGCTAAATGTGCTAATCAGAGTCAGATGGCTGAAATTCTTGTTGTTGATAACATCATTAATGTACCAAAATTGCTGTTGTAGATATCATCATTAATGTGCAAGCTCAAGTTGCTTCCCCACGTCAAGATAAGCTAACAGACCCCCAAGCCATAGACCACTTGGCCACAGAATTGACTCCCAAAACTATTATTAAGAAATGTCACAGAAGTGTTGCAAGGCCAGGAGTCATTCCAGCCTTTTTGTTCTTACACTTTAGAAAGACAAAACCATAACTCAAAGACCAGGTGGGAGTGGATCTGAGGTTTGTCTCCCACTCCCTTGCTTGGCGTCTTGTCATAGATACTGTGCTTTCCTTCACCACAACCCAGCATAGCAGGCTGGCTTTGTCCCACATCAGCAAGCGGAACCAAATTTGGATCCGTAACACGAGCTGCTGGCAGACATCCATGAGGATGTGCTGATAGCCTGGGGTCGGGGGTCTGAGGGGCCCAAGAGGAAGTCAGAGCCACCTTGCAGCTTTGGGGCAATATACATCTTAGTTGTGGCCCTGTTATTTGTATATATATGACTATAAACTGTTCTTGTATCGTTTCATAATATTTAAATTTTTCTACTTTTTCTGCACACAGGAAAACCATATTTTCTGAAAATGTTGTAATCGATAGGTATTGCTACTATTACTTTTAAAGATACTATTATCTATTTTAAAAACTGAATTACAGTCATATTTACTCACTGCAGAACACTAAGGAAAAGGACAAACAAGAAAAATTAAAATCTCTTGAGTCTTTCATGTTGAGTGAAAGAAGCCAGACACAAAAGAGCATATATACTATTGGATTCCGCTTTGACAAGTTTCAAGAAGGGGCAAAATGAATTTATGGTGTCAGAAGTGGTTCTTTTGAGGGATAATACCTGGGAGAGGGCAAGAGGGAACTTCCTGGGGTGCTGGAAATATTCTCTGTCTTAATCTGTGTGTTTATGGATGAAAAATTCACCTGAGCCACAAACCTGTGATATTTGCATTTTATGGAATACGCCACAATTAAAATGTAAAGAGAAAAACTTCTCTTTTTCGAACAGATTCCTTTCCCTATAAAAATAAAAACAATGGGCTTTTACAAAGTGGACACTGCCTCACTAAGCAGGAGTTAAACCCAAATCAAGCTTTGGTGCAGCTCCCCGATCCGTAGATACAGTAGAAAGAAGGATGTCCTTGGCTTGAAAGTGATCAAATAGTCACTGCGGGCAGAGCACAGAGAACAGGGAAGCCCTGGCCCTGAGCAGCTCTGCATGGCACTGCCATCTGGCAGGGAAGGGATGGTGATTTGCTCAGTGGGTCCCAGCGAGGATGACAGCATTGCCACACCTGAACGTCTATCCTGCTGGCCCAGAAAGCAGCCATCAGACTCACAGTTTATGGGGTGACAAATTAAAAACTGGCTTTTATCGAAAATGGTTGGGCATCCAGGGCTGGGCTGTCCAGGCACAAATGCCTACACATTGCTTTCTTTTGGGAGATTCTCCTCCACACACCCTCTGGAAGCAGAAGCCAGAAGCTCACTTTCTCAGCATCCCTTGTACCTGGTACACAGGCTGGTGATGCCTTGGGCTTCACCAATCAGATGCCCTTCTTGTGAAATTTTGGTTGAGAATGCAGTGACATGCAGAGGCAGGCAACACGTGGACATAGCTGGCACGTAGGGTGGCAGAGACCTCTGGCCTGGGCCAGCTGCAGCATGTGAACACTGTAGGGGTCAGTGGGTGGCCACCAAGGCAGCCATGGGATGGGATTCAGCTGATGTTCCTGGCATCCAAGCCTGATTATCTACCCTCTTGGAGATTTTAAGAACTATACAGTATCCTTTGATAAATTCCTTTCCTGAGAAATATTAGCTAGAGTGAATTCATTCTTAACAACTAAGAACTCTAAATGAATCCACAGTAAACAATTAATTATATTGCTAAAAGTCCGTCACACTCCTACATGATAAACATTGTTTGCACCTAAATTAATACAGCTACATTGCATCATTTTGTACCATTCCACTTTTAATGTATGCCCTATAGACTCATTAAGGGGACAGTCTGAGAACCAAAGAGAGAAAGTCTCATAACAAAGTGGTGTTTGAAGGAAACAGAGGGCCACAGGTTTGTTATGGGGACTGCCATCGTAATACCTGTGATTCCATCACCCTGAGATAAACATAAACCCCATGTCCACTGGTGGGGGGATGCACAACGTGAGAGCTGAGTTTCAGTTTTATTTGGGGACTTACAGAGGACTATAGCCCAGGAGACAGCCTCTGAGACAGCTCTAAGGAACTGCTCCAAAGAGGTGGGGTGGGGGTGGTCAGTATACACGCGATTTTGGAGAAGGGGTTACATGCAAACACACAGCTTGGTAGAAGGTTACAGTTAGTCATGAAGAACAGATCCCTCAGTTAATGATTTTAGTGCTTTGCTAAGTATGAGAAGCTGCAAGGATCTGTGCTCATACACTTTTCTCCTGAAAATATCTAACTTCTGAGGGCCTGTTTTTACGATTTCCCCAGAGCATAGTGTGACTCATTCTTGATCTTTGCCATGAATTCCTTTCAGGGTGTACTGTAGATAGGACTGGATAGTGGGCAACATTCTTTGTTTTCCACCTGCTAAAAACATTTTGATGTATTTCCTTCTAGTCCTTGCTTCCTGGACAACATGTCTCTCCCATTCTCAGTAGCTTCCTTAGAAAGTGCATGAACGGGAAAATGTTGAGCTCTTGCTCATCTGACAATGTCTTAATTCTTCTCTCACCCTTGATTGAGACTTTAGCTGGGCATAGAATTCTGGAGCTGCTATTGAGAAGTCCAAAGCCATTCTGATTCCTGAACCCTTCCGTTTGTCCCTTTTCTCCACTCTGGTTGCTCACAGGGTCTTCTCTTTATTTTGGCTGCTTTGATTAACGCAATGTGTCTTGTCACATTAGTTCTTGGGCTGGATACTTGAGAAACCCTTTAAATCTGGAAACTCATCTCCTCAAATTCCTGGACATTTTCTTCTATATTTTATTTCATAATTTATTTCTCCCCTTTATTTCCTCTTTTCTCTGTTTCTGGAACTCCTACTAGTTATATGTAAGCCTCCTGGATTTATATATATATTTTCTTTTCACTCCCATATTACATTTCTTTGTCTTTTCATCCCACCTACTTCAGATATGAACCCCTCTTTTGCAATTTTCATTCCCACCATCCATCTTTCAGTCCTCTAGGGCCCCTTCCTGTATCTGGCTGTGGACACGATATGGCCCTGACAGCTTCCCAGATCTCTGAAGGGCTGTTTTTAGAGTTTCTTGATTTTGTTTTCAGTTTTCCTTGGTTCTCTGTATTATCTCTGTTTCCTCTGAGTTCCTTTCTCTGTTTGTTCTGGTCCCTACCTTTCATGTTAGAAGTTTCCTCAAATGTCCACTGACTGTTGGCAGTTCCTGAGGAGTCCTGCCTAGACTCTAAATTTAATAGTCAGGACCCAAAAGACAGACCAGTTTGGAGCAGGTGATCTGGGCTTGCCCCGCTGTGGCTTTAGGGCAAGGTCATCAGGGAGGACGCCGACAGGCCCCAGTGTCAGCAGCTATGA